CCTAAAAACTTCATAAAACCTAAGAATTTTGATATCAATCTCTTCCTCTCTCCACTCTAATCATGATTCTACCTTCCAATTCCATTTTCTCTAAATAAATAAACAAACCCGAAGCCATAAAGAAAGTGTGCATCATCAAGAATTCTCACAATCAGGCCCCTAACCTATCCTAGATTCATCTAGAGGTTGTCAAGAACCTAACCACATACAAAACAAGTCCTAATTCCTCCTAAATCATGAGCAATTTTGAAAGTTACATACCTCTGAAAAAGCTTCAACACAACCTTCAAAATCCACTGAATCTTGATGCTTCTTGCCCAGAATCACTCTATGCAACCTTCTGAAGCTTTTGCAACTCTTGATTTTGATGGAAATTGGCCAATTCTTCAGATACGATTTTCCCCTTCAACCACTTTTCTCCAACTGACTCTAACCATTTCTGGCACCAATTCTCATCAAACTTCATCTGAGAATGATCTAGTGTTTATATAGGATTGATTTGGATATGAATTGAAGCCCAATTGTGGCTGTTTGGCCCAAATCCAAAATTCAATTTTCATCACTTTTTCACTTTGCCATATTCACGAAAATAGAGCTAATTCACTTCCAAATTGATCCATTTTTCTTGTTGGTGATGTGAGGAGTGTGGATGGATGAGATTAGTTCCTTACTTTTGCATCAATGGTTGATTTGTATTTTGTTTCTTCAAGCTTAAGAGACATGAGGAAAGACCATGTAAATGACTTCAATTTTCAAATATATCAATTCCATTGTTCTTAGAATGTGTTTTGTGAATAAAATATGCACAAATATGACTTGGAATCATTCATTTTACATTTATTTGAATTTTTGACTTTAAATGCCTTTAAAGTTCCCTTTTTTGAAAATTTCTTCAACCAATCTTCAATATAATCCATATCAATGAATCCTTGGTGTTTTATTGAGTAAATAACCCCATTTTGAGAAACTTTCAAGTTGGACAAACTTGCATTTGAGGTATGCAAAGTGGTGAAATGGACCTATAACCAAAAGTGACTTATAATCCAAGTTTCCCAAAATGCCCTTGCCTTGCAAGCTCCATATCATGAGTTCTACAAATCCAAATGAGGACTTCTAGTACTCTTTGGAAATATAAGAAGACAAGGAACAATATTCATGTTTGGGTCAAGGATAGGAGAGACACCCTTCTAGCTCAAAAATGGCATGGAAGTTGGTTGACTTTCAAGTACCAAAATCACATTCATTTGATGACCTGTAACTTGTCTGCTTCATAACTTGAGTTCTAAAATTCAGATGAATGACTTCTAGTACTTAAAAGAAATCTAAGAACATGCTCTACAAGTCTCATGTTGATGTCAAGATGAGATAGAACTTGCATCTTGAGTTATGTGATCTTGAAGTTAGGCACTGAGATAGGGAATTTTACACTGACAAGCTTAGAAACCCTAGCTCAATAACTTCTCACACTCTTGAATATTGATAAATTGATCTTGAAGTGATCTATGACATGTCTCAACACAACATTCCATGATCATAGTCGCTTGGAATTGAGTCTTAATCTCCTCAAGACTCACAGTTGACTCAGGGTTGACCAGGAGAAAACCCTAGTTGCACCAGCTTTGGTTGTGGCCTCTTGTACTTTGCATAATGGCTTATCCCAACTCCATAATGACTCTCAATACATCCAATGAGCTCTTTCAATGCTTTACCACCCATAACCATGGGTTTAATATCACTTGATGACCTTCACAGACCCCCAAGATAGGAGGTACACCATTATTAACCAACCACTCCTTCAATGAGCTTTGACATTCTTCTGAGGATAATAATCACCTGATAGCCTGAACACAACCCCTTGATTAGGATTAGACCTTGGTATCTTTATCTTTACAAGCATATCCCTCTCAATTCCCTGCAAATGGGCTATAATATGCAGATGCTAATGATAATGTTAATGCTATGAATGCAATGAAACAAAGGCTAGGTAAAGCAGAAGGTTGGGAAAATTTTGGGGTGCAACAGATTGCAATTAATTTATTGATTATGTGAAGGACACATGGTTGACACCACATAGACAAAGATTTGTTGGAGCATGGATTAATCGAGTGCTACATTTGGGTAACATCACGACTAATCGGTATGTATTTATTTTTAGTATTTCTAAATTGTATATTTTTTTTGAATTTTTTAAAAATATTTTAAACATGTATTAATGTTAGGGTTGAGTCTGCTCATTGGAAGTTAAAGCAAATGTTGGAGAACAGTATTGGTGACATGGTCAAATGTTGGGAGGCTATGAATGACAACTTAAAGTTACAATTGGGTAATATTAGAGCTTCTTTTCAAAAGAGTTTTTATGAAGTTGAGCACACACACGCAAGTCCATTTTACAATAATGTACGTGGTTCAGTGTCTCGAGATGCATTGAGACGCATTGTTGAAGAGTTAAAATGAGTTGATTATGTTGGAACTAACAAGGAAATATGTCATTGTACTCTTAGAACAACCTACAGATTACCTTGTGCTTGTGAGTTGACAGGATATATAATTGATGGTATACCGATACCAATAGATGTTGTACATGTTCATTGGAGAAAAATAAGTATGGAAGTTAAGTTGGATGAAGACGTAGATGATGGATCAGAGGTGGATATGAGTATTGCAATAGATGAGTTATGGAAAAGGTTTAAGTCACTGGATGTTGTTGGGAAAAAGGCATTAAAATGTAGCGTTTTTGAACTTGCCTTCCCTACAATGACTTCTATGTGTCCACCACTTGAGAAAATAAAAACTAAAGGGGGAGTCAAGAAGAAAGACAAAAAACTAGTAGGATATGATGTTTATAGAGACCATTCGTATCACGAGTATGTTGATCAAGCATCTCAATCTTCACAGATGCAATCTCAACCATCACAAACTTCGAAGAAATTGAAATTATCCCAGTCTTCACAAAAGAAATCTCAACCATCATAGGCTTTGAAGAAGTTGAAATTATCACAATCTTCACAGTCAACTAAGCAGTTCATCCTTCAATTTCCTAATCACATCAGGTCATATATTGATGATGCACTTAATGTTGTATCAGATGGTAATTGTGGATTTCGAGTCATTTCTTCATTGCATGGATATGGTGAAGATGGTTGGCCAATGGTTCGTCGAGACTTGGGGTTGGAAATAATACATAATGAAAGATCAAGTTTGTACGCCAATTTATTTACTGATCACTTAGCAGTAGTGAGAGAATCTTTGATGATAGAGGAATTTGGTCCTCAACCACCACATAAATTGTTAACTCTACCAGATATGGGTTACGTGATAGCGAATCGTTATAATGTTGTACTTGTCTGTTTAGGAATTGAATGCTGGACTTTCTTCCCTATGACAACTTAATTTTCACCGAATGTAGCAATTTACTGCATTGGTTTTGTAAACATAAATCATTGGGTTCAGGTACTTAGTTGTTTTTAGATAATGCAATTAAACCTAATTCTTTTTCGTTACTTTTACTTAATATTGTGATTATTTTTTTATTTAGGTAAACATGAAAGAAGGGTTTCCATTGCCACCAGTGACAGTAGATTAGAAGAAGTTTCGTTCTCCAGCAGCAACATCTTGGATGATAGGATTTGCAGGACGTCTACAACATTGGTAACAACTTATGCCTATATTACCAACGCATTATGAATTATAAATCATGTTACTCATTTTTAATTTCAAAACAAGAATCGTGAATTATGTTACTCATTTTTAATTTCAAAACAAGAATCGTGAATTATGTTACTCATTTTTAATTTCAAAACATGAATCGTGAGTCTAAAAGTTAACACATGAACATAAACATAAATATAACCATAAATATAAATATAAGTCACTATGATCGACCAAGATGTAAAGCTTCGAACAAATTAGCAAATTATGCGTCATCCTATTCAGCACCAGCCTGTTGAAGATAACGATGAATTAATGCAGACATATGAGCCAATATAGGATCAGATGGTTATGCTTCATATACAGGAATTGACATCTCTGCTGTCATCTCTGTTGTCGCATCATGATAGGGTGGCGGTACCAGACGAGGATGCGAGACACGATAATACCAATCAAGATATCCATCATCTGTCTCATATGGGGTGGTGGTCGGTGTTGTCGAACGAATCACATTCTGAACACTCTGATGGTAACTAATCCAATCAATATCACCAGCCATCGTATGATCGAGAGGTGGATGTGGAACATACTGCCTATATCCAAACTGACGCATACATCTGTCAGGCAAGTATGGAACAATAGTGTCACCCCACCTCAGACACCCCCTATATAGACATAACTCATCAAACTGATGCCATACTCTATGATTCTCGAATGGGCACCATATGACATCAACAGGTGTCAGCTCATCCAGAATAGGTCGCAAGTCATCCACCTTCAAGTTGCCTTGCCTATAGGACCATCTCATCGCTCGAGGGAGACCCACATTATTAGCTGGTATCCAGTTCTCTCCTTTTTTTTCCAAGTATTGGAAAATACTTATGAATCCAGCACTGTTACAAAATTAATATGGTTACTAAATTTAAAATAATTAATTATAACATAATAAAGTAGATAAATAAAATTAATATACTAGATAAAATTTATTAAAACAAAATATACTAAATTAAAATAAATACCTGTAGGAGTCGGATAACCACCAAGCTGCTTACAGCTGAACATGGAAGCATCTCCGAGATATCTGTAAAGAGTAACCAACGCAACTGCTCCCCAACTGTATCCTGATAAGCCATCCAAGTCTATAAACAGTGATAGGTATTGTGCCTCGACAAGCGTAAATATCTTATCCGCAAAAATAGTGGAATCCAATAACATCAGCAAATAAGCTCTAGTGGTATAATGCCACCTAGATGCAACTCTATGCTCTACGAACCGATCATATAACCACTCCAGCTTATAGTAGGAACCCCTGCAGTCACGGACTTGTTGTTGTGCTACTCTCTATGACACTATTAAATAATCAACATCCCACTCAACAACAAGCGCTTCACTGATATCTTGAGGGCTCCAGAAAACTCCCCTGATGGGCAAGTGAAGCAGGCAAGATACGTCATCTCACCAAACGACATGTGAAATGAAGATGTCTCTAGATGCCATCTCTCTGCAAAGGCGGAAACTAGGTTCGTGTCTATCTTTGTTAAATTGGTTCTCTGGAGTGAAGCTAGACCAGACCTAGATATCCAGCCCTCCATGTCTCTGGGTAGCTGTAATGGAACCCTCTGAATCAACTTCAACCCATGTCCCGCTACCTTTAATTCTTTCTTCGACCCTCTCTCCTGAAAAACAATTAAAAGTAAATATATTATAAAATTCAATATTAAAAACTCGAATTCTATTCAATATTAAATAATTTTCATTTCCTTACCTCACCGAACCATATATGTCTAGCAACATGATGTTCGTACTTAACTAACAGCGATGTATCATACGGTCCTCCTGGATATCCAACAGGCTTGGATGTTGATGCAGATGCATCAAAATGCTCTTCTTCAGCCATTCTCGATGACTCGCCCCGTCCTAGTCCACGAGGGATCCTACCATCTCTGCCTTGTGTGCGCACCACTGAAAAAAATAAAAAAATAAAATAAAAAATAAAATAAAAAATAAATAAATATAATTAAAAATAAAATAAAAACAATGAACCGGAAGTCTTGAGCAAAGAGTTCCGGAGAAGAAACGGAAAATGTGTGTACCGAAAGACTTAAGTCAAGACATCGAGTTAACAAAATCAAAATTTCATGAACCGGAAGACATGCATTAAGTCTTTCGGTGAAGAAACCAAAACAAAATACAAACCGGAAGATTTACTCTTGGAGTTCCGGTATGTATTGGAAAACAAATGTGTTCCGGAATACTTGGTGGAAGAGTTCCGGTGTGTAAATGAAAATAGAGACCTCCGGAAGACTTGAAATGAAAATGAAGTGAAAGTGAAAAAATTTACGAAATTATAGATATTTAAACAAGGGTATTTAGGTCCAATATTTTTTAGTGTAGGGGTGTGGATATAAGTGTAGGGGTATGGGGTAAAATTTCCTTGTCACATATGTAAAAGTAAAAAAAAACACTGACTTATTTTATAATAAGAAATTTAATTGTTTAAAACGTTCAAATTATAAAGATCAAAAGTGTATTTAAATCTTTTAGTTATAGTAACTATTTTATGAGTTTCATAGACATTGAATATGCCAAAAATAATATTAAATTTGATTAGTTTTAGATTTTGTTGAAAATAATCAAAAATATGTATATTAAAGAGTTTAATTTATAAAAAGCACTTTAAATAGTATATATATATATATATATATATATATATATATATATATATATATATATATATATATATATATATATATATATATATATATATATATATATATATATATATATATATATATATATATATATATATATATATATATAATCTTATTTAATAACATTAACTATAATCTATTTTTAAAAAATTAAAAATTAAAGGACTCTACCGGTTTAGATAATAAAATTGAGATTTTATTGTGTATGACTATAACCATATTAGTCTCTAAAAAAAATTTATGATATGACCAAAAAAAGTTAACGTGATATATTCAAAGAAGCTTTTAAAAGAGATGAATTGGGTACTTTAAAAAATTTAAGTATAATGAAGAAAATAAATTATGATAAATAATTTTATTTAAATAATAAATTGAAATATAAAAATTAACCTATATAAAATAAAATTTTGCTAATTCAAATGGCGGAAAATAAATATTGAAACAAAATTGAATTAAATAAAGAAAAAAAGGTAATGCACTGTGTAAATTTTTTTACACTGTCAATCAATGACGATCATGCTTTCTGCTAAGTCATACTGAAAATTTTAAACTAATTATAAAAAATGAAATATGGGTGGACAAAATATTACCGTCTGAGACAATCTGTCTGATCCAAATCGGGTTTTGGACAACGGGTCAGATAATTTTAAGTTACGGATTCAAACGGGTCATAAAATTGGATAACATCGGATGATTTCGGTCGGACTCGGTTGGTAATGTTTGGCCCGTAGGAATCCAAATCCGACCGAACATACACATATGCGAGCTGAATTTTCTATTTTTCTTGGCCCATGCTTGCCCTCAATTCATGACCCAAAGTAATATTCATAAAGTTAGATTAGGGTTGCCTACTTTCATTATCCCTCAAATCTTTCTTGATTCCATCTGAATGAGATTAGGGTTGTCGTTCTCAAACTATCGTTTTCTTGAAGTGAACCTACTGTCAATCACCATTTTCACAAACTTGCCATCTGTTCCCGTATCTCTCCATTCCTCTCTGATCCATGATTAAGTTTCTTAACATCTCTCTTGTTAAGATAAGATCTCGCACACTCTCTCTCTCTCAGATCTATGATTATGGATGCTCAGATCTTTTTCTACGGTTAATATTATATATTGGTAATTATATTCTTCTTGTGCATGTGATTTCTAACTAATTTTGTGTATGTGATTTTTACTCTTAATATTTTGTGTATGTATTTTTTCAACATGGAGTGGCTTAAGAACATGCAGAAGAATGGTTTTTTCATTTGGATCTTGGTAATTGACTTTGTTCATTTCTTATTTGTTTTCAGTCGGTTCATTTCTTCACACCATTTAGGATTTTTGAAAAGTTTATGCTATCAAATAGATCGAGTTGTAAACAACATTATATCAAATAGCTAATTCTTTTGAACAAACATTATAAAATCTTAAAATCTTTTGAACAAGCATTTTTGGACAAGCAACTGTGTTTTGAAACTTCAGTGTCCTTGTTCGGTAATTGTCTGAAATTTCATAGTTATACACTTGGTAATTGTTTGGTAATTGTCCTATATTTTCGTGTTTGGAAACTGTTTGGATAAGTAACTGTGTTTTAAAACTGTTTGGATAAGTAACTATGTTTTAAAACTGTTTAGATAAGTAATTGTGTGTTATGAATAAGGGCAAAAAGGTCATTACAGTAACTAATTCTTATGAGGAGAATGGACACTTGGCACATGACCCTAACATTCAGGGACAGGGACATGGAATGAGAGCTAAACTCCCTAACAGAAAATACGTGGGTGACTTTGTTAAATAGAGGAAGAATCACCAATGATTGGGTGTGGAATTAATTGGTGGAACCTTGACTCCCTTCTTTTCCTGAAGCCTTGGCTTTTCTAGATCCATCTTTAATTCCATGTATTCATTACTTCATTTAGCTTAGCAATTTCCATTGTTAATTTGAGATTGTACTCGTACTATTACATTATTGAAGTGCAATTCTTAAATTTTCTGAGTTACAGTACTTAGTTATTACATTTGGTGCTTTCATTGAGTTCAACCATGGCTGAAAATACACGTATGAAGAGCATGGAGAACTCAATTGCAGAAATGAAACAAATGCTACACAAATTTCTGGAGGATGTCGATCGTCGTCATGATGAGTATTCCCACCATCGTCATCTGGATCAAGCGAGATTTGAACGCGTTGAATCCCAAATCAGCACTCTTCATCTGACACAGTCTGCCGAACACAAGGATTTCTCATCATCTTCAGTTGCTCAACCCTTCTAGGTGTGTAATATCAAACTGGATTTTCCTTGCTTCGACGGTTCCGACGTGCTTAATTGGATTTTCAAGGCAGAATAATTTTTTGATTATTATGGAACACCGGATAATCAACGTCTCATCATCGTTGTCGTTCATATGGAAAATGAAGTTGTACCTTAGTTTCAAATGGTTTCCAGAAATCATCCATTTCAACCTTGGTCACTGTTCACACGGGCCTTGGAATTGGAATTTGGTCCATCTCCATATGAGTCACCTAGGCCCACTTTGTTTAAACTAGCCCAAACCTCCTCTGTTCTTGATTACTGCACCGCCTTAGCTAACTGATCTCAGGGATTGAGCCCAGAAGCTACCCTTGATTGCTTCATCAGAGGTCTTCAAAAAGATATCAAGCGCAACATTATCGCTCAAACACCAGCTTCCTTATCTCGCGCTTACACACTAACCCGCCTCTTTGAGGATAAATATTCACCATCAACCACCACAAAAATTCCCATTTCTTCATCCTCGAAACCATATCATTTCCCAACTACAAAACCTAACCCACAACCACCATTACTCCCAAACCCCAAACCTTCTTCACCACCACCGAAAAATCCCCCAGTCAAACACATCACACGGGCCGAAATGCAACTCCGTCGAGAAAAGGGGCTCTGTTATTATTATGACGACAAATTCTCCAGTAACCACAAATGTCCCAACCATCATTATTTTCTTCTTCAAATGGACGATAATGCCAACGATCCACCACCTGAAAACATTGAGCAAACCTTTATTGATTCCGCTTCTATAGGGAATTCTGAGCATCACCTCTCTCTTAACGCCTTAAACGGGTCTCATAGGATGGGTGCCACACGCTTCCAAGGGCACATTCAAGGCATTATTGTGACTGTTCTCTTAGACAGTGGGAGTTCTGACAATTTTCTACAGCCAAGAATTGCTCAATCCTTGCATCTACCAATTCAATCTAACACACAATTTCAAGTTTTGGTCGGTAATGGCCACTCTTTAACTACTATGGGGTATATAGCTGATTTACCAATAGCCATTCAGGGTAACACACTACATGTTCCTGCTTATTTGTTACCTATTTCGGGTGCCGACTTAGTCTTAGGTGTACCTTGGTTAAAGACCTTAGGACCACATATTGCTGACTACAATGCTTTACCCTTGAAGTTTTATGTCAAAGACACTTTCATTACACTATATGGAGACAAACCTAGTGGTCCAAGCCAAGCCCAGTACTATCACATCAAACGGCTACACCATACTAATTCTATTGATTTAGCCTTTACCTTGCAATTTGATAAAGTTGTACCAATAGATAATACTTTAGTTAAAGTTTGGTACCCTGACATCGCCTTACTTCTACACAATTATGATGATATGTTTGCTGAACCTAAGTCTTTACCCCCACCTAGGTTCCATGATCATGCTATTACCCTTGTGGATGGTAGTAATCCAGTTAAAGTGAGACCCTATAGGTACCCTCATAGTCAGAAAGCACAGATAGAGACCATGGTTAATGACATGCTTGCACAGGGTATTATCCAGCCTAGTAACAACCCTTTTTCTTCCCTTGTTTTGCTAGTTAAAAAGAAAGATGGATCATGGCGATTTTGTACGGATTATCGCGCTTTGAACTCTATCACTATCAAGGACAGTTTTCCCATCCCTACAATTGACGAGTTATTGGACGAACTCTATGGTGCTCATTATTTTTCAAAGCTGGATCTTCACTTTGGGTACCATCAAATACTCGTAAAACCAGAAGATAGGCCAAAGACAGCTTTTCAAACACACCAAGACTTGTATGAATGGTTAGTCATGCCCTTTGGACTCTCAAATGCTCCTGCCTCCTTTCAGTGCCTCATGAATCATGTGTTCCAAGCCCAACTGTGAAAAACCATTTTAGTATTTTTTGATGATATTT